ATGGTTTGATATCCAGATATTTGCCCAGTGTCCCTGATTCGCATGTGTTTTATGACTGGATCGTGGACAATCCCCGGGCTCACATGTAAGTTTTCCTCTTTCTGCTTTTGTTGGGTAACTGTTTGTGTGGTTGCTTATGTTATGTTTTTGTTCCAGCCACGAGGAATTATTCAACTACAACGGGTGGGCAGCGACACGTGAGGATTTGTTGTCCTTGAAAATTGGATCTCAGCTGCGTGTGGCCGTAATTGATAGTTGGTCATGTATTTTGAACGTAAGGGAGTTGGCTCGGACGGACGGTGCTCCTTGCAGATTTTTTGCTTCGATTGAAACTACGGTACGTTCACTTGTATTGTTGTTGTCTTGTTTTAAAAATATTGTGATATGTAGATAAATCTGGTTTGCGATTTTGTGTTGTGGTTATGTGTAGCTCAATACAGTGGTGTCTCAGTCTCAGTCACGTGCACGTTGACTTGATTGGTTCTCTCAGCACATGGATGCGGGTTTAAAGTTGTCTCGTTATGCGTCATGGCGCAGCATTAACATGGTATTTGTAATTGTTTGTTTGTTTTCTGTTGTGTGGTGGTGCATTAGTTCTCTGTGTGGTTTTGTGTCCGTGTGGGGGTTAGATTAATGTGTATGTCTGTCTTGTTTTTGGATGTTTGTAGTCGTTATAGTTGTTAGCTAATTATTTTTCTCTTGTGCAGTTCATTTTCCCCATTCTTCAGAGTGAGCACTATTATGTTATTAGTGTTGACATGGTTCGGAAACGCATTGACATAATCGACAATTCGTCGGCTAGTGGGACTAATGGGAGTAAGTATGGGGCTACACCTGATGTGCTGGTATGTTATTGAATTCCCACTGTATGTAGTTTTGGTTATGTGTTTGCTATTCGTTGCGGGCAATATTGTGCTGCACTGTATCTGACTGATGTGTATACGCACACAGTTGCTTGTGGGGCACACAATTGTTTACTGAGGTGCACCCGGTGTGCGCCTACGATTCTGTGTTTCCGTGGGGGTTATATGCTTTGGCACACACGGATACTTCTATGTGCTCACACTGTTGCTTAGTGGGTTTCATTTCCCATCACCTGTGTTTTTAGGAATGCTGTTTGTTGTGTTTTTTTTTTCTTGTTGCTTCCTAATGCTGTTGTGCCCTTTGACAGAAAGATTTCTTGTCTGTGTTCCTTGATGACGTGGTTGACGAACGGTATGTGTATATTGTACGGAGAATTATCCCTAGGAGAATGCAGATGCGGTGGCGGGATGTGCATAACAAAGTGGACTGTGGAGTCTTTGCTATGCGGCACATGGAGTGTTTCTTGGGGCAGCCCTTTAATGCATGGGATTGTGGTCTGCACAAGGGGGATAGTGGGGCCCTTGATTTGCTTAGGGCAAGTTATATGTGTCAAATTTTGACGGTCGAGTTGAACGTTCACCATTCGAAAAACATTCGAAGTGCTGTTGAATATCGTGACGATGGGGGTGCAACATAGATTTGTGTGTAGCTAGTCCGTTATCTATTTTTCTTTGTTTCTCTGCTCGTGGTATTATGGACCTTATTTTTTGATTCATTTGACACATTTATCTCTAAATAAATGGTGGGGTGATGGTCGTTGGTGTTAGATTCCCAGTTTATTAATTTTTGAGTATAGTAATGCTTGTTACGCTGTTATTTATTCTTGGGTATAGGAATGCTTGGTGCCACGCATTTGGGTTATATGTGCAGCGGTGCACAGACACATACAAGTATTTGGTCACGCAATGTCTAGCTCGGCACACTCATACCTTCAGTTGTGCACACACCAGTGTTCTGGTCGGGTGCCAAGTAGCACCCCCGTACCCGTGTTTTATGTGGGTGGCACATTCTGTTTACTAGGAGTGCACATTGCCATGTACATCTCCTACTAAAAAAACTGCATCTGAAACATTTTTTTTCAATGATTCATGATATCACGTATATAGATATGTGTTGAAACAAATTCGTTGTCAATTATTCGTACAGTAGTGCAGTAGGACTGGATGGCACACACGTGCAGTCTCAGGTGCTCACTGTTAGCATGTGGTCTCACTCCATACAATACTACAATAATACCGTTTGGGGAAACAATACTGCACTCTAGTGTCGTTGGGAGGCACCTAGTATTGTGGTGAGGTGCACAAGAGCCCTCCCTTAGCCAGTTGATGTGTGTGGCACACTCTGATTACTGGGGGTGCACATTGCCATGTAACGCTCCTATTACAAACGCAACATCTCAAACATTTTGTGTGTTTCACGGATACATGATGTGACCGTATACAAATATATGGAAAAAACAAATTCGGTGACAATTAGTCGTACAGAAATACACTTATAAAGAATGAGGTTAATAAACTGTTATGCATTAGGGCTGGATGGCACACACTGTCCATCTAAGGTTCTCACTGTCAGCATAAGGCCTCTTTCCATTAGTTTTTATTTTTTATTTTTATTTTTTATTTTTTTGGGTTTTTGGTGGCATCTGGTAGGTGCGGCTATCCTTATGCTCATATGCCTAGAGATTTTACCAACCCAGTTGGGGGGGGGGGGTGGCGGTGGTGGTGGGTATGGTGGACTCACCTTGTTAGTTTGTTATTAATTCTTTCGTGGGGTAATTCTTGGTGCCATGCATTTGGGTCGTATGTTCATAGGTGCACGGACACATACAAGTATGTGCTCACGCAATGTCCAGCTTGGCACACTCAGGACTTCGCATATGCACACACATGTATGCTATACCTTCATCCACCGCACAATCTGCTATTATTTGTTGGCCGCCATCTACATCGCCACGTATCTATTGCTGCCAAATAATATTGGCGGTCGGGTATTCATAATCAATTGCAATAAAATTATTTTGGGGCAAAATACTAAACTCGAGTGTCGTTTGAAGGCACCCAGTACTGTGAATGGGTGCACAAGAGCACCTTGTACCCCGTATGAGGTGCGTGGCACACTCTGTTTACTAGGGGTGCACATTGGCATGTACATCTTTCATGGATTCATAATGTCACGTAAATATATATATATATATATATATATATATATATATATATATATATATATATATATATATATATATATATATATGTATATGTAAAAACAAGTTTGGTGATAATTATTCGCTCACAAATACACTTCTAAAAAATGATTGTAAAAAACTGTTATGCAGTAGGGCTGAATGGCACGCACTGTCCATCGCAGGTGCTCACTATCAAAATAGGGCCTCTTTCCATTAGGCAGTTTTTTTTGTTTTTTGTTTCTGGTTTTTTGGTCGCAGTTCGCAGTTGCGGCTATCATGGTGTCCGTATTTGTTGCAAGTCCAACATTTCCTTACATCCTTTGCAGCTACATCCGATGCGATTTCCTTTACTGATTTCAATCGCTTTCCTGAACCTTTGTTCTTTGCAATGGCGGGGGGGGGGGGGGGGGGGGGGTGAACCAAAATGTTTGGTGTTGAGGTTGACCCATAGAAGCTACGTATCATACCAGTTTTCTTTGCTCTAGTTTCCATTTGCGGCATGCTTTCTGTTGTCTTTTCCCTATACTCTTTCAATATTTGTGCTAGCTCTGTTATTCGATCAGTGTTACCGTACGCGTTCCCAACACACTTGAAGAACTCATCGAATACGGTACCCATTCGCGTATCCCCACTTAAAACTTGTGTAGGCCCGCCTTGTTCGGGGTTTGCATAAAGCTGTGCGTATGGCCAACATGTAGTGCGGGTCCATCGTGGAGTGATATATTGTCCTGGTATTCTTTCTAAACGTGCATCCTTAAACGCCAACAACACATGCCTACACTGTAGCCCAATCCTATTGAACATGTTGCATGTGCAGTGTGTTGTCCGGGTGGTAGAATTGTATTCCACTGAGTGCATCATCTTGTTTGTATCCTCTATTTCAAGTCTGTGAATGGGTGCACAAGAGCACCTTGTACCCCGTATGAGGTGCGTGGCACACTCTGTTTACTAGGGGTGCACATTGGCATGTACATCTTTCATGGATTCATAATGTCACGTAAATATATATATATATATATATATATATATATATATATATATATATATATATATATATATATATATATATATATATATGTATATGTAAAAACAAGTTTGGTGATAATTATTCGTTCACAAATACACTTCTAAAAAATGATTGTAAAAAACTGTTATGCAGTAGGGCTGAATGGCACGCACTGTCCATCGCAGGTGCTCACTATCAAAATAGGGCCTCTTTCCATTAGGCAGTTTTTTTTGTTTTTTGTTTCTGGTTTTTTGGTCGCAGTTCGCAGTTGCGGCTATCATGGTGTCCGTATTTGTTGCAAGTCCAACATTTCCTTACATCCTTTGCAGCTACATCCGATGCGATTTCCTTTACTGATTTCAATCGCTTTCCTGAACCTTTGTTCTTTGCAATGGCGGGGGGGTGAACCAAAATGTTTGGTGTTGAGGTTGACCCACAGAAGCTACGTATCATACCAGTTTTCTTTGCTCTAGTTTCCATTTGCGGTATGCTTTCTGTTGTCTTTTCTCTATACTCTTTCAATATTTGTGCTAGCTCTGTTATTCGATCAGTGTTACCGTACGCGTTCCCAACACACTTGAAGAACTCATCGAATACGGTACCCATTCGCGTATCCCCACTTAAAACTTGTGTAGGCCCGCCTTGTTCGGGGTTTGCATAAAGCTGTGCGTATGGCCAACATGTAGTGCGGGTCCATCGTGGAGTGATATATTGTCCTGGTATTCTTTCTAAACGTGCATCCTTAAACGCCAACAACACATGCCTACACTGTAGCCCAATCCTATTGAACATGTTGCATGTGCAGTGTGTTGTCCGGGTGGCAGAATTGTATTCCACTGAGTGCATCATCTTGTTTGTATCCTCTATTTCAAAGATGTATCCTCTATTTCAAGTCTGACAGTGTTTCCTTCAACTGTTTTGTTAATGATTTGGGATGAGAAGCATGCTTCAAGTATCTCTTGTAGCAGCGATTGTATATGTTGTAGCAGCTTGACGCTCTAGCAATAAAGTTGTCTTCAACTCTGGGAATTTGTCCTCACAATCTGCGTTTAGCCTTGTTTGGGTGTGGCGTTGTTTGTCTATTGCTTTCTCAAACTTTATGAAGAAGTCCGTTAAACTTAGATGTGGGGAAGTGCAGCTGTTGAAGACGTTGTTCTCTGACTCCGACCTTGAGGTTGTTTTCATTAAGCCATCCATGAACATGTCGTTAAAGAATGCTGGTATCCAATATTCACGCATCTCAAACAAGTGGGTAAACCATCTGTGGTCAACCAGTTCATGTTTTTCCATTACTGTTTGCCATGCTGCTTCAAACTCACTAATTGTTTGCGTCTCATTCCAAACCACACTGTTTAGGCTTCTTAAGAAATCTTCATTCCTTGCTAATGTGGGCCCTACCTTTTCGCAAACCTTTGTCATGATGTGCCACATGCAGTATCTGTGGCATGTTGTATAAAAAACACGCGATATTGCCACTCTCATCGCTGGATCTTGGTTGGTAACTGTGCACGTGGGTACTTTACCCATTGCCGTTTTGAAGTGTTCGAGCAGCCAGGTGTAGGAGTCCACATCTTCTTTGGCAATTAATCCGGCTGCGAATGTCACACTCTTCTTGTGGTGATCCACCCCGGTGAATGGCACGAACACCAGCTTGTACCTGTAGTCATCACATGGTGTATAAAAATTTAATGGTTACTTACTAAGTGGGGGTGGTGACAACCAGAAAGCCGTATCAGAACTAGCTGGTTTGTGTTACTGGGTGGCTGTGTGCACTACTAGCCTCTGGGGGTGTGCACATCTGGCCCCGACTCTGTGCCCGACGGGGTCAGACTATGTGCCCCACTCAGCAGGGTCATGCCCAGTCTCCATGGTATATTGTAGTGCAGACTGCACTCACCCTTAATGGGTGTGCACCCCGACTGGGCCTGCCATATTGGAGACCATTTGTGGTGCCAGGGCAACCATTCGCACTAATTCTGTGCACTCACTTTGTAGCATCATATGTGAACATGGGTCCATGAGATCATAAAGGGAGGCGTAGGGTGTGGTATGTACCTGTTTGTACTGTATGTGGCGTCGAAGGACATAACATCGCCGAATTGTTTGAAATTGTGTCGAGCTTGTGGGTCTGCCCAAAATATTCGACATAGTTGGTCAAGCTCATCAACATCGTGGGCAAAATAGAAGTCGGTGGACACTTCTTTCTTTGCCATGAACTTGTCAATCACTAATTGGGCATCTGCGCCTTCTATGTACGCCATTATATCTCTTTTGTAATTCCCGAAATCTGTTACTGTAGCTCCAACATTCTCAAACCCTCCAACCATCTCTTCATATAGTGTAAATGATTTGGTGTACCCGATATTTGCCTTGGCACAATTGATGATGAAGTTTTGGTGCCCAAGGTCTAGGTTCCGGTTTGCCTTCATGAAGGGCCTAGAAACTGCAGTGCACAACAAGTGGGTGTGGCGCTTCTCAATTGCCGCTACCTCATAACCATTACCGTCCTTTGCTCTCTTGAATATTATTTTAGCGTTGCACCCCACCCTATTCGTGACACGGCGCCTTTTAGTTGGGGCATTGTCTTCGGCTGATAGCACCCCTACCCCATCCCCTTGGCCGGTAGGGAGTTTGAAGCCAGAACGTGAACACAACACATACTTCCACGTGATTTGCCCTTGCCGATCCGTTTTTTCGGAAGCGCGCCGCACATCAAACCCAGTAGTAGTGGCATAAGCTTTGTAGAACTCAATTCCTCCCTCCAAAGTAGTGAACACTTGTCCCTCAAAAGGCGTTTTGGCCACTTCACACTGTGGGGTCCAGTACTTCGTTGATCCGGGGGAGATGTTCATCAAACACCCAGTTGGTTTCCCTGTTAAACCGTCTTCACCTGTCAAGGGGTGCAAATTTGTTAGTTCAATATGTTTTGGACTTGTGTGGCACTCAGGGTATAACCGAAGTGCACGGCCGTTGGGTTTGACCACCATGTTGGCACATTAATGAGACCGTAGGTGCACCCACTGCCATCACGTGCGTCCCGACTACGGGGATTATGCAGTCCGACATTGTGGTTAAGTCTGTGCCCTTATGGGCGAATTGCTGTGCACATAATGCTATATGTGGGTTCGTCTGTGCACTTCCTCTTAACTGTGGGTGCACATAGTCGCGTATGCCTAGGGCAGTGTGTGCCCCGCAGCGTTTCGGGTGATGCACATTAGGTGTCCAAACCCAGTAGGGCAAGACATGCACAACACTGTTTCCGCCTGGGTGTATGCGTAAACACTCCATTACCATTCCCCACCCCCCAATTCAAATTGCATACAAAATCATGGGTACATTCATAAATTCTACTTACTGTTGTTGTATTCTGTTGACATCTTGCTTCTTTGGATGCTTCACGTTGCACTTGGCCGGCCGGAATTCGCAAAGGGTTGTCGGAGATTATGTG